AAATTTTAACTGCATCGTAATTCATAATATGATGTTCTTTATTTACATGTTCTGCCAGTGCAGATCTTTCTGGGTATAGTCTACTGTCGCTACGATGACTGATTAGGCGACTGCCTAGGTTGCGTGTGGTTTGTCCCACATATATTAAATTGCAGTTGTTGCAAGGGATTTGGTAGACAACGTTGGAACAATCTTTGATGTTACTTTTATCTTTAACCTTAGAATATATGGATCTTACCGTTAATGATGTTTTATAAGCTATTTTCAAATTGGTGAAATCTTTAAAAAGTCTTGTTAGTCTGGGTGTTATGCTTTTGATGTATTTCAGTGAGGTATATGAGCAATTGGTATTATGTTCTCCATTTGTGGCATTGATTTGTATCTCATCATTTCGGCGTGTTATGTTAGGGGTCAAACTAAATAGAATTTTGGTGACTAAGGGTTTTGGATATGAATTGTCCATGAAAGGTTGAACAGGATTCTTAGGTTCTTCTGGTGGAAAGAAGGGTCACTGATGGAAATGATTCTAGCCTTCATTTGTTTAAGTAGGTTGATTTTTATTGAATGTCTATGGTATGACCAATAGTTGAGGAAGCGTCCAGAACTATGAGGTTTTCTATGCCAGTCGATAACAAGGGAGTTATTTGGGGTTCTAATGAACCGGGTGTCAAGAAAGGGGACTGAGCATAGATCGTCCTCATGTTCGATTGTGAACTGTAGTAGAGGATCATACCTATTAAATACATTTAAAATTTCTGTGGATCCATTGCTGGGGATAGCTAGGATTAAGTCATCCACATACTTTTTTACAAAAGGAATATGAAAGGACAATTCTGGGATAACCATATCTAATAGATGATCCATCACATAGCAGGCCAAAATGGGTGAGATAGTAGCTCCCATAGGAGTTCCTTGTGTTTGTTTAAACACAGTATTATTGAATGTGAAATAGGTGTTATTAAACAGAAAAGATATGAGTTTTTTGAAGTACTCCAAGTTGATATTACAGTGAGAACTGATAAAATTCCAATTGTTTTCAATAGCTGTTAAAGCTGCATCTAAGTGAACATTGGTGAATAATGAAACTACATCCAGACTGACAATCACATAGCCATCACATAGTCAGTCAGTCTGGATGTAGTTTCATTATTCACCAATGTTCACTTAGATGCAGCTTTAACAGCTATTGAAAACAATTGGAATTTTATCAGTTCTCACTGTAATATCAACTTGGAGTACTTCAAAAAACTCATATCTTTTCTGTTTAATAACACCTATTTCACATTCAATAATACTGTGTTTAAACAAACACAAGGAACTCCTATGGGAGCTACTATCTCACCCATTTTGGCCTGCTATGTGATGGATCATCTATTAGATATGGTTATCCCAGAATTGTCCTTTCATATTCCTTTTGTAAAAAAGTATGTGGATGACTTAATCCTAGCTATCCCCAGTAATGGATCCACAGAAATTTTAAATGTATTTAATAGGTATGATCCTCTACTACAGTTCACAATCGAACATGAGGACGATCTATGCTCAGTCCCCTTTCTTGACACCCGGTTCATTAGAACCCCAAATAACTCCCTTGTTATCGACTGGCATAGAAAACCTCATAGTTCTGGACGCTTCCTCAACTATTGGTCATACCATAGACATTCAATAAAAATCAACCTACTTAAACAAATGAAGGCTAGAATCATTTCCATCAGTGACCCTTCTTTCCACCAGAAGAACCTAAGAATCCTGTTCAACCTATTCATGGACAATTCATATCCAAAACCCTTAGTCACCAAAATTCTATTTAGTTTGACCCCTAACATAACACGCCGAAATGATGAGATACAAATCAATGCCACAAATGGAGAACATAATACCAATTGCTCATATACCTCACTGAAATACATCAAAAGCATAACACCCAGACTAACAAGACTTTTTAAAGATTTCACCAATTTGAAAATAGCTTATAAAACATCATTAACGGTAAGATCCATATATTCTAAGGTTAAAGATAAAAGTAACATCAAAGATTGTTCCAACGTTGTCTACCAAATCCCTTGCAACAACTGCAATTTAATATATGTGGGACAAACCACACGCAACCTAGGCAGTCGCCTAATCAGTCATCGTAGCGACAGTAGACTATACCCAGAAAGATCTGCACTGGCAGAACATGTAAATAAAGAACATCATATTATGAATTACGATGCAGTTAAAATTTTAGCTACGGAGTCCAATTACAATAAAAGACTCTTTTTAGAAATGGCATTCATTGCACAAAACTCAAATGCAATGAACAAAAGGAGTGACATTAATCAATTGAGCACTATATACTCCTACCTATTATATTTGGATGGATCATCACATTTCAATGATGTTTCAATGACTGATTCATTGTAAAGTTTCCAGGTTTCGTTATATTTTTCACAGTTTCTTTATTAAATTCTGTGTTTTTTTCCAATACTACCTTTGTCAATAATTTGATGTGTAACAACAGTAGTACCACATAAGACAAAGAAATAAGAAGAAGTACTGTCATTTGCCATGTCCAGGAATGACAGTTACTCTTAACCTTTCATTCAACAGTTGGCCGGCACACGTGGCCGTTGAAAACTTTTTTAACTGTCTTTTTCTTATGTGTTAAAAATATAATAATTTATTAAGTGGTCTTATACACCATGAAAGTTTTATATGTGTTTAATATTTTAAAATTTGACTCAATCAATGAGTGGTGCGTAATATTGTCACCTGTAAGTGAAACATCCACGAAAGACGAACCTCAATAACGTAAGTTTTTATCGTTTTTTAAATAAAACCATTTTCTACAACTAATTTCGAGGATGATTTACTAACAGTCGCACTTTATTTTCAGTTTTTCCTGATGATGAAAATAAACATTTTCGAAAGCTTGAAACTTAGTTAAAAGAGTACACTTATTTCACCGCTGAATAAATCCCAATAAACCTCAAAGCTCCGTTTTCTAACGTTGTCAGCAAAGACTTCTTTTCCTTTATATATATATATATATATATATATATATATATATATATATATATATATATATATATATATAAGACGAAAGATCCATGTCTCGTCATAAATTGGGTGAAGTAGTAGTTGACACGTCTGTGTTTACACTCATACCACCTTACTACATCTGGGATAAGGGCCATCGTCCAGGCAGCCTTGTCTGTTTCTCTTGACCATTTATCCTGCCAAATCTCCAAACTCCTTTTTCTTTCTTGTGTTCCTGAACCTAAAGCTCCATCGCCCCTTTGGTGCATCCGAACCCTTTCATTAGTCAGGATATGCACGGCCACTACTTGTAAGGCAATGGTTGATATGGTCCTGTACGCGCTGCATACCCTGATCAATGGTTTCCTCTGCGTCCTAAGAAGCATGTCTTTATATTTTGCTTTGTTGAGGATCTCATGCCACACTGGGGCCCCATATAGTAAGATGGACATGATTGACTATAGGATAACTGATCTTTTGTGTGACCCGGGGCCTCCTATATTCGGCATTATCTTATTAAGAGTCGAGGTCATCTTTTCCGACATGCTTCTTGTATGTGGTGTCTGAATGCCATTTTGTCGTCTAGTACGATTCCCAAGTATTTTACGGTCTTCTGGGGTCTAAGGTCGGAACCTCTGAACCGAAAATTTCCGTTTTTTCTATCCCGTGGTCCTCTCAAGATGATTATTTCTATGTTTTCTACTGCAATTTTTAGGTCATTTCTCTCTATCCATCTCGCAGTTTTTTCTATTGCTTCATTTACCTTGTTTATAATACCCCAATTCATATCTTCGATAACGATACCAATATTCTAATAGGACGTATGCCACATTTTTTTGATTAGCGTTTAACAAAATTGTCCAATAGCTCTATCGTCTAAATCTAATATTATTGTGGGATGTGTCTATAGAATATGGTATCGATATGTTAGATTAGACGGAATAGACTATGGAATAATTGTAAAACGCTAATCAAAAAAATGTGCATACGTCCTATTAGAATATTGGTATCGATAAGTAGGGCTAGGTCGTCTGCGTATACAATTGTCATTACTTCTTGTGTTTTGTTTACTTCTAGTACCCCGTTGTATAAAATATTCCATAGTGTGGGTCCCAGGACTGACCCTTGGGGTACTCCGACAGTCGTTTTCATCTTATTTTTCTTCGATATGCATACGCTTCTTTGTAATAGGTAGTTCAATATTATATTGGACACATATTCCGGGGTCCCAAGTTTGACAATCTTGTCTACGATGAGACCCCAGTTCGCTGAATTGAAGGCGTTTTTAATGTCCAATAAAACAAGTACCACCCATTTCTTTTTGCTTATTTTCACCACGTTTCTTATCCAGATCGCGGCGTCGACTGCTGATCGACCTTTTCTGAATCCATATTTTTGGGTCGTTAGGACACTTGAATCAAAATATATCGAATTTCTCGCAGGTAATTGCCATTCAAAATCGACGGTCGCTTCAAGCGTGTTTGTGAGAGAATGATTCATTCTACACAAAAAATGCTAATAGACATGTTTGTTCAAAATTATCCCAGCTACATTTTTTAATTTAAATATTTTTTTCTACAGCGTACAGATTCTTGGTAAATTGATTTTTTTGCGTTTTTACTCCCTTCCGGGGTTTTAGGGGAATGCCTGGGGTAAAAGTGGTAAACTTTTTGTGTGATCCCAAAATTAGTATTCTTGACAAAATTTAGCTTGTTCATATGATTTTTAGAGGTTCAGTGGTATTTTCCAAAAAATTAGCTTATTAGTATTAAATGGTGCAAATGGGCCTTGGATTCTGGACTATTAGAGAAGAGGCAAAGAATGACGAAAAAATGGGTACTGCAGCAAATAACCAAAAGTAGAAAGAAACATGAATAAGAAGAGAAAAGAAGCAATGAGCAACAAAAGTTTGAAAACGTTATACTGGGCAGTATTAACAGTATATCTATATTCAATTTTATATATAAAACAATTCTTACTCGGCTCTAGAAGCTGTAGCTACGGCTGGTTCTGCTAAGATTTTTTCACTCTTGTCTAATATACAGTAAGTGAAATCCTGCTCTATGTCTTTTCTGTTTTCACCACTTTCAGGAAATCTAAAAAAACATTTTATATATTGTTGAAAAAATTTCTTTTCTATATCCATATGTTCATTATAGTTGTAGAAAATTACTTTTTCAATCATTATTTAACACAAATTTTATTCTTATTACTCATAGTATCATTCATATTGTCAGTTGTAAATTCAGTTTATCTTACAAAAAATGTTTGTTATCGTTTTATTTGATGAGCAAAAATTTTCATTTCTTAAACATTGTAGCTAAATCAGTTGTACATTATATTTATAGTTAGTGGAGTAAATATTTTATTTAATATTTGAAAATCACTATTTCGTGATTTAAAGCTTCAATACGACATCAAGGACAAACTGTTTGAATTTTGAAGCTCACTTTCGCATGAATATCATGCCACCAGCACTGCTGCATTAAAGGTTTTATTACCATTTTTAACTTCATACTTGTGCGAAAGAGGCTTTTCTGCAGTTGCAGTGATTAAAAACAAGTAGTTATTAAAACAAGAGAGTGACAATTTCCAAACTGGAGCCCCAGTTTCAAAAGCTGTGCTCAAAAAAGCAAGCACATCCCTCACATTAACCAGCCAGTTACATAAATAAATATCCCTTTTCATTTTTGTGCCTATGTTTTGCTTTCGTTCTTAGTTACTAATAAAAAATATAAATGTTCAAATAGTGTTTTTACTGTAACTATAACCTGTTACTAGGCTAGGACTAAAATTGGTGAATATTATTGAACAATTCCCCTTCGTTGGCTCAGTGGAGATGTTCGTTCAGTTGTAATGGAAACACCAAATAATAGTAGCAGAGTTTATTGATGAGACGTACACTATGGGTGTTGACCCGGGATTACTTTGAGTAGAGACTGTTGCAGTTGATCGCTAGAGACTATCAAGTTTGTTGAGTGAATATTGATTGAATGCTTCTCTAGGCAAGAGATATTAGTTTTATATAAGTTTTAATTGGGTCAATATATTCGCGGGCCTCGCGTGATATGTGTGTCTAATTTATGTAAATTGTTTAACTTTGTCAGCACTTTTGACTGATGTCCAAATTATATTGTTGATAATTGAGCAAATCCGTATGTAACCTAATTAACTGCGTGTGTGTATTTAATAACAAATAAATTCATTCGGTCTACTGGGTGATAAAATTATACTGTCCAATTTCGGATATGGATTCTGAAGATTTGATATTGGACAATTATTGGGGGTTGAGTTGAGGGGGCGTCACAAAAAATAGCAAATTCCCATTAGTGTCACAGTACGAATAAGTTTGGGAAGCCCTGCGGTAGCCTATAGAGCTATTATGCACATTTTCATTGCTAGTACAGTTCAGAACAGTTCTTGAACTTAATATGTGACGATAATATGTATACATAATGAATTAAGGCACCTATATAAATATTAAATTATATATGCAATACATATTTATCTACAAAATAATTGCCAAGTAATTTCTAATATTTGTCTATTTAAAAAACAAGAATTAACTGGAAACACTGTTTAGAATGGCAACACTGTTTAAAATTTCACTGGTTCAGAACTGTTCTCGAACTGAAGGCATGCAAAAATATAAAATATATCGTCGGCTTACTGCCAAAACAAGCTAACTCCACTTTTTGTCAATTTGGGGTTAAGTACTCATTTGTACTTGAAAGATTCCCAAAGAATGTACTGACAAAACCTGAGAAGTTTCAACAGATTTTAAATGTGGGAAACAGAAGGGAATAAAAAAAACTAACTCCAATGATAACACTTTTATTCAGCTGAAAACAGATATGAACAGTAATCTGTTAAAATAAAATAATACTTTATCATTTACAATATTCTAGTTCTGCCAAAGGACAATTTAGAACATTTTCGCTGTACTAATTCAGCATAAATGGACACATTTCATGTGATGACTGTACTTAACTCTCAGCATAGTACGATATTATGTATTAGTGATGTAACGAATATTCGCATTCGCATTCGCGAATATTCGCATATTTTTGCATATTCGCATTTGCATTCGCATTCGCAAAATTTGTGCGAATGTTTTGCGAATATTACACAGCTTGCATTTAGCTCGTTCAGTATCGAAAAGTGGTGAAAAATAAGTCCATATTTCACTATAATTTGATTTACTCATAGTAATAAATCGCTAATCACACTTTAACTAAAAATTCACTTGTATTTGTGCACGAGCAGAGCAGAGCAAGTGGAGTGACTTGTGTCCCGTGAAATTTTTATTGGAACTATAACCAGAGAACTTAGTTCTCTGCTATAACTTTCTCTCTATAACAAGTCAAATTTGATTATAACAAGAGAAAATAAGATCGAAAAACGTGCTTTCTACGTTTTTGGCCCGGACGTGACTATAAATAAATACCTTTTTAAACGACCCCTCAATAAACTTAACCGCCTACAATAAACTTCTTTACAATAAATACAACTGTTTCACATCTTTACTTTAGCAAATAAGATAGAATGATACTGGACAATTTAAAGCAGTTAAAAATGAGACTTTTTCCAATTGCCTACACACCTCGCGCAAATGAGACTGCCGGCAGTGCCGGAGACAATTAAAATTGCCAAATTAAAAAAAAAACTGAATATTCGCATTCGCATTCGCGAATGTTGGTGGCATATATTCGCATTCGCATTCGCGAATGTTTAAAAAATGACATCTGTTACATCACTATTATGTATAGACAATAATTTGTAGATATTTACATTATCCTTCAGTAGTATATAGACGTTTCAGAGTTTTCATGTTTCTATTTTAAACATTGGTTTATTTTAGGCTAGTGGTGCCATGTATAAACAAAACATGGAGGTGGACATAGCTACAAAGAGGTAGATAGCATGCATAGTGCTATAAAAAAGTGCACAATTATGTTGCAGTTTACATCATGCATAACTGGCTTAATATTTTCCGTACCTATGACAAGAAGTGTAGATCTGGTAAGAAACCTTATATTGAAGAACTCAATTATAAGGGCTTTTTATAAATGTTTAAAATATTTAGAATCCAAACCAGGCACAATTCTGACTATAAAGAAATAAATATTTTTGGTAAAGGTCTTCCTGTTAATCTGAGCGAAACATACTTCAAAAGACATACTCTAAACCTTGGCTCATTAGTTTAAAAAAACATTATCTATTAAAGCTCTACCAATCACAAGTCATCTCAGATGAGTTTCATCAGTATAAGTTGTTGCTGACTTCGAAGGACATCGACGATCTGAGCCTGATATTGAGGAGAGTGATGTTCAAAGTAACCTGAAAGATGTGTACAGCCAAAACCAGACAAGTGCCACAAAACAATGGTTTTCATACTTTTTTTTTTAATTTCACTTCATTTTAAAAGTTTTTGTCTGCAATGTTATTTACTGTAATATTTTTCAGTCATTAAATAATTTTTAAATTCAGAGGATTTTTCATTTCAAATTAAAGTTTAAAGGGTATATATCTCAAAACTCAAAAAGTGGAGTTAGCTTGTTTTGGAAGTAAGCCGACGATATTTGCTATCTATATTTATCTTACTTTTAAAATATATTACATTAGTATCCATATAAATTTGAAATTATATGTAATAATGTAATACAGATTTACCCATGAAAAGAGAGTTGTGGATAGCGGTAAGCTGTTTTTTTTTTACAAATACAACACTGCGATGGCATACTATGGATTATATACAGTCATAATACAACTTTAATAACAACAGAAACCGAATGTTTAACGAGTTCACTATAATATTAATATTATAATATAATTAATGTAACTTCTAACAGAATTTTCCAGGAAACAGTTTGTATTTATCAGAGTATTTATATTTACAATTGACATTGACGTATGTATAATAAACAATACATCGTGACGTAGTGACAGAAGTGTCATCTGTCACTGTCATATATTTTTCGTTTGTTAAAAACTTTACTTAAGGCCTATCCTCGATAATCCTAACGGTAAAATTCAGTGAGCTATCTATTTCAAAAATATCTTTCTTTACGAAAACAAAATCCATTCACGAAGAATATTCTAAACGTCATCTGGTACTAAATTTTATATTTTTACCTACTTACAACCCCCTATTGTGAAGTCTTGGGTGTATACAATAAAGCGAGCGGGGGGTCTTCTATTCATTGCGATTATGGGGTAATTAGAATAATACGAGTATACCAGAGTAATATTATTTATTGAATAATTAATTCACAACTTAGCAAGGGTACATACAGGTAACAAATAATCGCCCTGTAAATAATTCATAACAATTAAATCGAAGACAAACTTTTATAACAAAATAATGTATAACAAGATATAAGTGTATTGGTTATTTATGTCTTATATTTTCTTTTGTTATTGTTTTTTTGCTGACAAATTGGCTTTTAACGTATTGTTACGAACGTGCATTTAACGAGGCACGTATAACGGTTGCATCTCGAAACAGCACCTCATGCTTCCATGCGGCGCGGCGGCATCTCGAAAGCGACTCGATATTTCGAGAAAGATCAGTCACGTATACGCCTAGAGGTGGGAACTTTCTAGAAAATAGTAACTTTGGTATATATATGTAACGATCTTAGGAGTTAGTTTAGTTGATAAGATAGTATCGAACTGTAAAGTTATAAATAAATATATTTATATAAATTCGAACCGCTCGTTTTATTTAATCACGTTACAGTTGGTGTCACCGTGTGAGGACAATTGATTTATTTAAAAATAAATTTAACAGTGAAAAAAAAAGACACTTTTGAACTTTTGAAAAATATTGTTCGTCGGGAACATCCGCGTAGTTCGGTAGTGATCGTTGTACGAAAGAACATTTTAAAAGTACGTGTGTGCCTGATCAAAGATGCTGCTAGTAGAACTTTCAGTGAAACAGTTGCGTGAGCAACTAGAAGAACGCGATGAAGACTGCAGCGGGTCCAAGAAGATCCTCCAAGAACGACTGAAGAATGTTCTTAACAATAATGGAGATGATCCAGATACATTCCAGTTTCAATCAGCAGAAGAAGCAGTTTTAACAAAAATAATT